TATAAAATAGCAGCGTTTAGAACGTTAATCTCAAGAGCTTATTCGCACTGTAACAATACAAAAGATAGAAACGAGGAACTGAATTATATATATAACTTAGCCAGAAAGCACGGGGTTAATCTTAAAGCTATTATCAACAAGAGTAATAGGAGCATTAAGAGGAGAAATTTACCTCATAATGAAGGAGTTTTAACGATGGAATATAATGCTTCGTTGAATAATATTTTCCGACGCATAGGAAAGGCCCAGAACAAAAGAATCGTATATAAAAGAACCCCCACCACGTACCAACTATTACGATCTGATAAGGATTTAGTGGATAGAAGAACACTCCCCGGGGTATATAAAATTCCAGTCACAGACTCAAGGCGACGAAGTAAATTAATGTATGTAGGGGCAACAGGAAGATGTATCAAAGACAGGTTAGCAGAACACCAAGCAAATATAAGAAAAAAACAACCATGCACTGCGCTAGCCACCTACGTTCTAGCGGACCAGCAAGACGTCCAAGTTGAATGGGACCAAGCAAGACTAATGCAGATAGTCCGAGACAGGAAACACCGACATTACGCGGAAGCCTGGCAGATTTGTAAGGCAAAGCATAAAGGCCTCGCAATCAACTTCCGGGAAGCGACTAAAATATCAGCAGCATGGTCCTCTAGCTTATTATAATATTAATAATTGAAGGAAGTAGTCACTATGTATCTCAGATTACGTACTTTTGAATAATGTAGAGAGATGGCAACTATACGTATTTAGATGTAAATATTTATGTAATATTGTTATATTTCCGTTGCTAAGTTTACACTGACGTCATTCGCAACGGATTATAAGCCAGTTCGAAAGATTCAAAAAAGAGTTATTTGTATTAAGTGTTCGATTTACAGTGTTTGTTCTTTATTTAATCGTATTTTCTTGAGAAAGGTCTTTTAATAAGACCGAAAACGTTTGAAGTTTTCTAATAAACGTCGACTGCAAGAAAAGGTGTTGTAGTAAGTGTTTTTTGAGAAATTCTGTAAGAACTGAAAGATTCAAGGACAAGTAAGTACTGTACTTCAATGTTCTGCTATGGCAATCAAAAGACTTTGGTGTCATACAAATACAAATCAAATAAAGTTGTATACCTTCTTTCTACCATTCGTGATCAGCCAGACATCAATCATAGGACAAACAAGCCTGAGATAATCCATTATTACAACAGCACCAAAGAGCAGTGGATACTATGGATCAAATTATGTTCAGGGATGAGTACTGCTCATAAGACCTGTAGATGGCTACTTTGCTTATTATATGATGTTCTGAACCTAAGCTTAATAAATGCATATGTTATTTGTGTGTCAAATAAACTACGATAGCAGCAGAAACCCATCACACAAAGACTTTGCATTAACATTGGCTGACAGCATCGTAAAGCCATAGTTGAAAGAACATTACAATACAGTAACTAAGACATTCCATCAAAATAAATATTGAAGATATTTTGAATATTGAAAAGTCCACAGAAGACATGACTAAAAGTGTGGCAAACAGATGCAGAATTTGTACTTTTTGTCCACTTAAGAAACGCAGAAGACAAAGTACGTATTCAATTACTGCAACAAGGTTATTTGTGGAGAGCACACTTTTAACATCTGCCAAGAGTGCAAACACTAATTTTTACCACCTTTCTATTTTTTAATTAAAATGTAATACTTCTCTTCAGGAAATGTAAAAATATACTTGTTTTTAATTTGTAGTCTAAGTTGAATGATTAGTTACAGAGTAACATTGATTTAAGTATAGTTATCTAGGCTTGAACAACAAATCCTAAAATTTAAAAATATGAATAATTAAAAAAAAAATTATTACATACACTACATAAAAATTTCCTATTGCATTAAATTGATAATTATCATGTCTCACTGTATTGCATTTAAAACTATATGCTAAAGATAGTAAATCATTTGTCACTGAAGCAACTAAATAAAAAAAAATTTATAAATGTTAAAATTCTTTTTAACATTTATAAATTATAAATTTTAAGTAGTTTATTAAACATTTAAAATTATTTATAAAATATATAATTTCCAAAGCATTTAATTATGTTATAGTTTATGATGAGAAATGGAAGTAAGGATTAAATGATAAAAATGAGTACCTTTTGCTTCTTTCCAGCAGGCAGTTTACTAGTTCAAACAAATGCTTTTGACCACTTAAGTAGCCCTCATCAGATAAATACCTTATTTAGAAAAATCTATTCATTCTGTAGTTTACTACTTCATTTGAACTAGTAAACTACACAACAATGATTTACTTGTTCATTTGAACTACTAAACTACATGCTGGAAAGAAGTGAAAGGTATCATTTGAATATTGCTCCAGCTTTGTTGATGTCATTTTTAAATGATGAAGAGGTTAGTAAAGATTAAACAATAAACAAATATCAAAAATGAAGAATCATTCCTGTGAAATACAACACAACAATTCACTCATCATTTATTTATTTACAATTTACACAACTTTCACATTAAAAATATTGTCTTACCTCTTCCCTTTTGAGATTTATTTTTAACTGGCTGCTGTTGCATGAATCGAGGTGGGACCTCTCGGGGAGGATAGCGTGAGCTTTGGGTGGCAGACTGCTGAGTATTGCCTGCTTGTGAACGCTTACTAGCTGCCTGCTGCTGTGACTGAGTCTGCTGCTTCATCGACTCTTCTTCACGCCCCCCTGGAGCCTAGAATCAAGATGTTTTTTCATCAAGTTTATTTTTTAAAATACAAATCAAATATTCACACCTAGGTGTAATTATATATAAAATAATTCAATACTCAATAATGAACTTTATTAGTTTAAGAAATCTTAAGCCATCATACAGTATGCAAGAAAAAATTAGCAAATCCAGAAAATTGCTACAATTTGAAAAATAATACAAAGACAAGAATTTTGCACAATATGATTCTAAATGAAAAATAGGAAAACCTACTTTCATGAAATTAAAACAATAATATTGAAAATTGCAAATTATCAAATAACAAAAAAGATCAAAATGAGTGTGACAAATTGAAAAACAGAAAAAGTTGATCATGCAGATAGAATTCTAATATTTTGCTGATTCACGTTGATTTTATGATTACTTTGTAGTCATTGTTCGGCATACCAAGAATTAAGTCATGTATTTTTTAATGAAACAGTTTTTCAAGCATTCATGATTGCAGTTTTAAATTCCATTACTGTGCTATACTCAGGATGACTATTGTAAACAGCATGTGCTAAAATCCCCCCAATCATTTTCTGAAATTTTTAAAATCACTGAGAGGGCAGGCCATTTCATTACTTTATCCTTTCATCCTCAAACCACTCCTTCACTACTCTGTGGGGGCCGAGGGGGGAGAAATAAAAAAACTCAAACGATAATATGTGATATATATCGTCCTCGTCTCCCCTGCCGTTTGGATTGCCGAGCGGTAACAATCAACGACATGTGGAAGCAGTTGAGTCAGAGATAGATGCTTCGTTTACAAACAACACAACCGTTTATTAAACACGAAAGAAGCTTACAAGATTACTGCGATCTTGGAAGTTCTACGTCGGCTGCGGTCGCTGGGTCTTCCTCTCCTTTCCAAGATAGTCCCATTCTGAAGGAGTGTCCCTTGTTCGCGAATGAACCATTCCATCACGTCTTGAGGGCTCCGGGACGATGCGGTCGACTTCCGTTGATGGAAAGATGTCGATCCGAAATCAGGAGATGGAGACGAAGATGGGTGTGAGACACACACACAACAACAGGTCCGTCACTTGGAACTTTCGGGAGAAGAAGCTGTCGCATCCTCGAATTTCCGGGGTTTTATCTGTTTTCTCTCAGATTCCCCTTTCCGATTGGTCTCCCGGCGTCACCTGATGACAATTCGAAACCTTTCTGGGCGCGGGAGAGGTCAAAATCGAAGTTTAATTCGATCTCCCATCCGGAAATGGTCAACGGACTTACATTCTTCTATTGTTTAAAAGTATTCTATTGTCTAGCGTCGTGTTTTCATATCATAAAAATCTATTTCTAACTACTATATTTTTTCTCTTTAAAACAATTATTTTAACGCGAATTTTAGTGAGGGTTCAAACCTGTCCAGAGCCTCACAACTCTAGCCATATAAACAAAAATAATGCAGGAAATAAATGGAAAATCCATTTATTTCCTGCATTATTTTGTCAAAATACAAGAAAATGGCTTTCTAGCATGCACAAGTAACAACATTTGTAATGCTTTTAAAAATTTTTAATCATAATTTGTGCTGTATCCTATCACTCCTGAAACCATTATTGAATCACTATCTAGACACCTTCTGGATAAAATCAGTTATTTTTATATGGAAATTATGAAAAATAATAGATTATCCATCCAGGCCATCAAGATTAAATAATCTTTTGTCCAAGAAAAAGACTTTTTCCCATTTGTTGATCCATAATATGTAATCATTAACAAACTGCAACCTCTTCTCAAACTTTCACTGAGTAAAAAGAGTTATGTTAAACTTTTTGCAAACAATGTGTTTGCAGTACTTAAAAGCATGCTGAATGTTTCTCAGACAAGTCATATTTTAAGATAACGAATATCTTGAAAAATAAAAGTTTATTTCATATATAAATTATTAAAGCTGCATTTAAAGTGACTTTAATGATTTAAATTCAGCATTCATTAAGAGCTCATGTCTTCCAGAACAGAACAAGCATATAAATCATACTTCTTATAATTTGAAATAATTCCTTTATAACTTCCTCATTTCTGTTTAAATGATAACCAATCCCATTATTTAAAAGATTTTGCAGCTTCAATGCATCAATTTGTCCTTTTTTCAAGTTTTGCAGTGTGGTATTATTTTATCTAACTAACAAAATAATACCACACCACATTTCTAAACAACGATGGAATGATGGATAACAGTTATTAAGTAAAATTTTTCTTAAATGAACAACTAATAACATTGCTGCTTATGCAAAAAAAAAAAAAAAAAAAGGAAATTTCTGTCCAATCTTAATTTTCACACATTTATATGGATGCAACTAATATTTTATTACATTAAAAATTAGGAAAAGTAAGTTCTCTTGCCAATGTAAATTTCATCCTGATGATGATGAGTTAATGAAATGTCACTATCAGATTTTAAAAATAACAGTTTCTGGAGAAAGAATTACATTTTTGAGGAATCTGGAAAAAGATTGTGGGTTTATGGATGAAAACTTTGAGAGAACAGTTTTAAGAGTGAACAACATGACATCCAAAGAAAAGAGTAACAGGTTGGGAGGAGTTCTCTTTGCATTATATAGACTTGTGAAGCCTGAGTATTTATAAAGTTTTGGAGAAAGCAACTGGAAAGATTATCATACCTAAAAGAATCCCACTCTGATTCCTTAAAAATGAAAAGGAAAAGCAATACTTGCAGAAGTGAAGGATATATTATGATATCAATATGGACCTAGAAATAATTGCATTGGAGCATTCAGAAGGACACTAAGTGGGAGCATCAGAAACATTGTAGGTAGAACAACAACACTGACAGAAACAGCTGTAAATAAATAAGTTATTTGAAAAGATATCCCCTTTCCTTACTTCCTTCATTAGGATGGCCTACTGGAAAGAGAAAGGAAGGTCAAAAAAGGAAGTAAGGGAAGATGAGATCATTCCAACAGCAGAAAAATTAGGAATTTAGGTAAAAGTCAGGGTTTGAAAGTAGTCAATATCAGGAATGGATATCTTCTATCTTTACAAATACACTAAAGTTTACCAGACAATGATGACAATTTATCAGACTTGTCAGTTATAACTAGCATAAGTTTAAAACAGAGGTTTGGAGACTTTTTAATATTATTTGTGAAATATATTTTCTGGATATTAACAGTTTCTCAAGAGCTGCTAAACAATCACCATTCCAAGGAAACATGAAACTTCCAAAGCCTTATATGCTAAATATTCAATTTTCCAAGGTCTGTTTTCCAAAAACACTTCAGAAGTGGGTCCTATTATTTAAACAGGAACTGTGTGTTAACAGCTCTCAAAGTTTCATTTTGTAAGGAACCAAGTTCAAGCATTATTTTTAGTTACTTTTATTTTTTCTTTTGTTCTATTTTTGTTTGGGGATTATGTTTTGTTAGGATGAAGGTTTCCTCACCATTCACCTTAGAAACTTAAAAATAGAAGAGAAACCAACTCACCGACAAGAGAAAAGCACCATAATTAAAAATCGCGCACACTTGCGCTCCCGAGCGGAGAAAAGTAAGTCCGCACCGAGAAAAAGGGGGGAGACACCACAAGCACAACTTAGGAAACTTGCTAAACCTTAAAAGAATAAAACATCCTGAAAATTGTCAAAAAGAATAACATAAAAGGTTAGTGTGTATTGTCGGAAAATAGGCTGCCAGACAAACAGAAAAAAATTGTTAGCAAATAAGTATGTAAATGAGGGGAGTGATCTCAATCAAAATTGTGACGTCACCTCACAGTATAAAGACCAAACCTCAAGTGAAGATGGACAAGGTGAGCTTCTGTTAGCAACGAGCATAGTGAGCTTCGTAGCAGCAAACGAGAGAGAGGTGTCCGATAGGATAAAATAGTTCCAAGGTGATTTTGAAGTTATTCAATTTGTGAATCGAAGATTAGAGAAAGTCTTGAGAGTTGAGGAAAAGGGTTCGTAGTATATTGAGGTGACGATTAGGATCAATAATTCATAAGAATTATTGTATATAAGTTAAGTCTTTATTTTTGTCAAATTCCAAAGGGGAATAGAGTTAAGTTAGAAAATAGATTGATTTGAGTTTTGTCAGGTTGGTTCTTATTGATTTACGTTGAATAAATTGTTATTTAATTTTTACTAAATTTTGTATATAGTTATTACTAGAAATTTTATTAAATATTGGATTGTTTTTGATTAACTTTGTCATTATTTAATTCGGTGCATGCGTAAAGTCCAGGCCTGGCACATTAACGCAAATCCGCATAAAGTATCTGTTAGGTAACAGCTATTTCCGGCACATAGTCGTGTCAATAATCCTAGTAGAGGGCGGAAAATTAATATAGTACTTTACAATTTGAACTGGAAACTTGAATGTCTCACCTTCTCCTTGTGTAAGTGCCAAAGCATATCACAATTATTGGCTAGACAGAAAGCTGCTGTCTTACTGAAAATTTTATATTAGTTCACTTCTTTTATAGATTCTGACATTCTCCACTAAACACGATTTATAACCTAAATAATAAAGTGTTACTGTTGTATAGTAAAAGCATGTTATAAATTACTAAAAGTCTAAGATTTGTGTTTTTAAGCAAAAGAGCTTTTGTGTTGTGCTTTATTAAAATTAACACTATAATACTACAGTGACTTGTTATCCTCATGATATGAACACCAAGTTTAGTCTTGAGAAAAGTTTTTTCCATTAATTTATGCAAGCAGTACACAGGAGTCTTCCGAGACCGCTCGACATAAATACAACCATTTTGAGACCATTAAATTCTGATCCGCCGCTGACCAAACTAAAAAGGCAGAAGAACTTATCAAACAAGAAATGATTGTCATGTTACATCACGATGCCGTTCATCATGCAACGGAACAACAACTGGGATTACAACAAACAAAAAAAGGAAAACAACCTCACTCGATGGTCGTAAATCAAGCACAACATTTGGCTTATTTAGAAAAACATCCTTACGAGAAATTTCACGATTATGACATTGAAATGGCCAGGGAGAAATTATTAGAAGAAATGGAATTTGTGAAGAAAGGCATGGGCCACGGTGAACTGAGTCTTGAAGCTTACAGTCAAGTTTGGGAAGAATGTTTGGCACAAGTGTTATTTCTTCCTTCTCAGAACAGATATACAAGAGCTAATTTAGCGAGCAAAAAGGATCGTATAGTCTCTGGAGAAAAGATTAGAGCAAAATCAAGGTCACATGACAAAAGAAGCTAAGAAAGCTGCCAAAGTAGAGAAAAAACTTCGAATTCTCACCGGAGGTTATCAGTCGAGAGGACAAGCATTGATAAAACAACTGCAGGACTTGGCGGAACAGGTAGAACAGACTCATCTGGAACTAAAAACTTTCGAGACTCTGCGGGACCACGAAGGATTGGCCATTCCCAAAAGAGTAGAGTCATTGACCGAAGACGTGAACAGACAGATAGACCGAGAGAGAATGTTGCAAAAAAGATATGAGGACCTTCTTCAAAAGAGAGAAGAACTGCAGCGCTCTTCCAAAGAGTCATCAAAGTAAAACGCTTAACGGAGCAGACAGTTCTTTCCAGGAAGCTCTTTGTGTACAGATGTGGACTTATTTTAATAGATGCGTAAACAAATCCTTGGTTTATTAAAAGCCTTTCTTGGATTCTCGTTTAGTTCAGATATACGTTTACTGTAAATTTACTTTCATAAAGTGAATGTATTATATATATTTGTTTTGTTTAAATATGTATTGTTTAAATATATTTGAAAAATAAAATACATTTCACTTACAGATGCTATTTGTGCTGAAATTTGATCACAACTGTCTCCTCCACCTCTTTCTTCTTTGACGCAGCCTTCTCTGAAATAATATTTCCAAATTTAAACATTTCATCTATAAATGCATTGTTTTAAATATATATAATTAGCCCGTAAAATGCATTTTTTAAATTAAAACATAAAATCAACATTCTGAAAGTAAAAGATTGAATAAAATCCCTTTGAAATAAGTCTACCATCCATCCTATTAATTTTAATATAAAACTTACTTTATGCTTAAAGAAATGTTAATCTAACTCTAATTTGTTTATTCTTATCTAAACATGGACATACTGTAATGGATTTCAAATTAAAAAAAAATGTCTATAGTATTCTGTGTTAGTTTTGGGAATGCTGAAATTAAAATATTCAATGCACTCTAAGTAGCTTTTAAAACAAGTATCATTTCAAATACAGTGAGATTACAGCAATGATATAGTTAATTATAATTTTCAATATAAATAATGTTATTTAAACAAAATTAAAGAACTGACTTATTAAGGAATAAATGTTTACATGCTCATTTTTAAATAAACAACATACTAAAGCATTTTCATCTAAACCAGCAGTTCCTATCTGATTTGAAATCAGCAACCTTTTTCACCTTAGAAGTTTTGAAACCCTGACAATTTTTACTGATTATAAATAAAACAACAAATCAAAAAGCATTTATCTAACAGACAAAAATTTAACAATTGAATTAATATTATATGCTTTTCCAACTGATAATTAATGTGAAGGAGTGATTTTCACAAATGATTTTGTCATGGAGAACTCAACTTGAGCAAGAATCAAATGTATTTGATTTTACGCAAGTTGCTAAACAAACACTCAAGCATTAAAATATTGCTACTCCTAGACAGTTTCTTGACAAAAATGAACATTTAAGTTTTCAAATACAATGAATTGAATACACAATACGAATCTTCCACCATTAAACTCAATGGATTTTATTTTCCCACAAATATGAAGCATGCATAGGCTCCCTTTTCCTCTATTATTATTATTAATTTTTTAAACTTAATTTAAATAGTTTAAACATGTGTGAAAAATTAATTTTATCAGTGGAACCCTAGAGTTCCATAGAACACAACTTGGAAACTGCTGATCTGAATACTAACCAGATTCAATGAGAAATGAATTTCAAATTTTAAGCTGTGAAACTCATACAGAAAATATTTGTTTCACAAGGAATGGAGAGACCCAATGTCCAAAACCTTTTAAAAGTTCCTTTCAGATAAAAAATTGTATTCTAATTATACTTTTTTTTATTTGATTTTTTTTTATGTCTGAATAAACTATTCTAAATTATGGGTCATTTTATACAGTAGGTAAAAAAAATGTAACCTTTCATTACAAAATACAAGTGGAATAATGTTCTTAACAATTTGTATGTACCACTAATCACAATATTAGTATGCTGCTACAAATATTTTTAATATAGATTTGGTAAATTCATTTAACATAGATTATCATAATAAAAATTTAGTATAACCACAGGTTGATTTTGATAGCTGATATTTCCACTATATATCACTGATTCAATGATGGAGCATAAGCAAAGACATATCAGTGTTAATCTATCACAGATATGTCAAACTCATTTAAACAACATCCCATTAATGAGACTGGTAAGATTCAAGCGGGCCACATCACATTTACAAATTTTTTAAACTTATGATTTCAAGCGAGAATGCAGGAATATAGAGAATATATATACATATTCTCTATATAGTGTTTTATATAGTTTAATAACTAAATAGTGTTTTAATTGCCCTATATATATATATATATATCTATATAGTGTTTTATATAGTTTAATAACTAAATAGTGTTTTAATTGCCCTATATATATATATATATAAGGCAATTAAAACACTATTTAGTTCAGTGAATTCAACTCAACAATATATAATTGCTATAGTATTGCTTTTATATAAACATTTATTTTATTTAATGTACAATACATATTTATAAAACTAAAATTAATTGTTTTCATCAGAAACTTGCCAGTGCTAGAAAACTAGGAGGAGGAAGATAGCACATCTTCCTCCTACTAGTTTTCCAATATCTGGATTCAAAGACTGAGAACAACCTTCATTATGGCAGATGGATGTTTATCAGCTAATCTTGATCTGTAAGCTGTTTAATTTTAGAGCACTGGGGAAAAAAATCACATTCAGGGCCACATGCAGCCTGCCAGTTTGACATCCCTGATCTATCATATACTCTATGTTGAAAAAAGTATCAAAAAACTCTCAGATTCCATTCTTTCAGACAAATGGTTCAGGGAGACCACAAGCATTAAGTATAAGAGAGTATTGTTTTTGTATAATACCTAATACATAGATATTATCAGAGTGTAGCATAGCACAGAGCTGACAGACTTCTAATGGGGGCTGGGTGGTTGTATGTTATCTGAGCAAGCAATCAGTGTGGGCCATTGCAGACTTATGGATCTTCCAAAGTCTACTTTAGGCAATGTTATTCAAAAGTTGAAAGCAACTGGTGCCTATACAGTGTGGGTTTGCTTAGGGAGACTATAAACTGACTGCATACAAATCCAACATTACAGCAGTGAATATGCAGTGCTGCCTGCAATGGATCTTCAAGCATCATTCTTGGACTGGCAACAAATAAGTGTGTGTTGTGAATTAATGAATTATGATATATCTGATCAGATAGATGGTTATGCTTGGGTATAGGTACTGCCTGGGGAACGATTTCACTATCCAACAGTGAAGTCTGGAGGAAGCTCTGCTATACGGTGTGGGTATTTCTGCTGGAAAAGCCTAAGCCATTGGTTACAGTATCCACTCTCAATCTTGGTGATTACAAGCGCATTCTGGACAATATGGCAGTATTTTGGCACAACCCTGCCTCCACCAGCATGATCAAACACCATGATATACAGAATGCGGTTGAGGCATGACTTGAGGAGCAGAATATCTGCAAGCTAGAATGGCCAAATTAAAATCCAGATCTTAATCCCATCAAGCATCTCAGGAATGAACTGGAACACCATATCCACACAGTGCCAACCCACCCACCATCCACTGCAACATTATCTGCAACTTTCCTTGAAAAATGAAGACATCCCTCCACACAAATCTATTGGAATTTTATCAAAATAGTAGTAGTACTCTCTCATAATATTATACTATGTAGACTATTAATATTTTATTGTTGGTATTCTTTTTGGCTCAAATGTGTTAATAGTAGGCCAGATGGACACCAGAAGTTCTGATCAAAATAAACATTTAGAAGTGAAGAATTTCAGTTGTTGCTTGACATCCTACATAGATCCTGTTGTCTACATCCCTTTTGTAAGTTATATATTGATAATACATTTTATATACAATATATTGAAAGGTACTATAATCAGTGTCCCAATGAAAGTGATGTGATTTTATTGAGCACTTGCCACAGGCTACCACATACTATATATCTGCATTCGAGTTATAACCTACCGTAGCATGTTTGAGTGTTATCTTGTACAGAAGATATAAGTGTAAATTTGAATTTTGAGCTCAAAATCTTAAAATCAAATTGTATGCCAATATGCACATCATGTAATAATTAATGTGCCCAACTAAATTTATCTTTTCAAATTGTTCAATGTATATTTGTTTATCCTTACTTTAACAAATTTGTTTATTCTTTAAAAACCTGTTTAAATATTTTATTGTCAAATAGTTTATGAATCTAAATACTAGTGACAAGTATTCAACACTCAATTGTTTTAGTCAATTAATAGTGCTAAACGCTGGAAATTTTCATTCTCAAGTAGTAGTTTTTTATTACTTGGATATCAAGAAAAAGTTAGGTAATGCAGTGTTTCTCAACCTTTTAGTTCACAAATGTGTTGAAAAATACTTAAGTTTACAGAAGAAAAAAACATATATCTCAGAATAAAAAATAAAAAAGCTTTATTTACTTCTTTTTAAAGTTTACATTAAAAAAGTGATTTAAACTAAAATTTTTAAAACATTTTTATATATACATAAAAATAATCATTGTTTAAAATATATATAATATTAAAAAAAAAAGCATATATAATATTAATTTATTAATTAATTCTACTCTAGGAAGTTCACTAAGTTTTCCATTATTAAGGAAAACTTAGAGTAGAGTTTCTTCTGGGAAGTGAAGTTTGAAACATTGGAGTAATGCAAGGTGTGCAGTTTCTCCAAATTTTCTATAATTAATTTTCTCTTACAACTTAACAGTTAAAAAATTGATTTATTGACATTCCTTGAAAGTGAACAAATAAATCTTCAAAACTAACAAAGAACAATTAACAATAAATTGTGATATTTCAAATATATATAAAGAGATGTCTTGGCAACATCAATTCAGATTTATCTATATATAAACATAAAAATGGACGTGTGTGTCCCTATATTTCACTTTTCGGCCAAAACTACACATCGCACATGTATCAGATATGTGATATTTATGTTAATGAGCACAAGCAAATTATTATTATAAAAATAATCAGACTAAATTTTGTGCACACAATTTCTGAAGTCAGCATGAGAAATTTATTACTTTATCTATTTCACTTCAACTCTTATGTTTTTAATACATTTTGTAGTAGACTTAGCAGTTTCTCCTGTTTTATTTCCAGTCAAAAAAAAAAATCTGATTGCTTAACAACAGTCAGAAACAAAGTTATTTATATAACAACAATGACTTCTTACTTGGATCAAAGCCAATATAACTCTTTTTGGTATAGCATTACAAAAATGGCCACCACTAAAGGAATTTAAATGAAACACTAATACAAACAAAAATTAAAACTAACATATTTCTCTTTAACTAAACAGTAAAAATTCTTATATTCTGTTCATAACTCATTAGAGAAAACTACATTTATTAAAAAATTTGCAAAGAAAAATCTAGATAAAAATTAGCTAAATAATTTCAATTAATTTTTTCATAATACAGTAGCCCCTCGTTATATCACTTGTTAGTAGATAAACAAAAAGAGCGATATATCCAAATCCCCAATGTAACGATGTGCAATATAACATGGGGCTA